AGAAATCTCTTCATTTCTTTGCTTTTTCTCTTTCGTTTTCTTTTTTTTTATAAAAATATTTTTCACTTCGCTCAGAATCCTTTCAATCTGACATGTGACGCCCATTAGTAAATACGACCCTATTCAGTCCATCTGGTGAAACGACTTCGCATTCCTCTGACAAATAGCTAATTCTCACATATTTTTGACGCCATCGTTGGAATCCCTAGCCTCTGAGGAATCTTGTAAGCCACCAAATTAAAACTAGTTTCTCGGAGCATTTCTAACTGGTGAGTTGGAGCAGGGCACTGCTCTCTTCCGAACTGTTTCGGCAATAGTAATGTCATCGTCCGTATGCTATATAAATATGCTATGCTATATAAATAAATAGGTGAGCCCATGGCTCAATGGTGCTTATCCTGACGGATAAGCACCATTGAGCCATGGGCTCACCTATTTATTCAGGAGCTTGCCAAAACTGCTTACAATTAGGCTGCCCGCAGTAAGCCTTTCTACTTCAGATTTGATCTATTCTGTTGGAGAGGTCATAGACTTTCCCGAATGGTTTGGGATAGATATTTCACGTATGGGATCATCCTCTATTGCTGAGGGCTGTGGGAGAGCACGGTAAGCTTCCAACGGGAATGGGGTGAGCGAAATGAGCAGACCACTCGAATGCGGATTCAGTTCCCGACGAGCGTTAGATTTGCTTGCGTCAGTTGGCTGATTTTCCAGGACAAACTCCGGCAAAAAAACGGGAGGTAGCAGACGAAACACAAACGTAAGTGGGTGGCCATGCGATGGAATTAGCTTTTTATCGGGTGACCACGATTTCCTTCAAATGAGTAAGCCAAATTAACAAGTTGCATGATTCTTCCGATCCTATTCCAGCTATCTATGAACACTTTTGTTGATTGCACCTGATCAGAAATTGAGAATTACGTGCTGACCTGCTTCCTACCTACTCCTTTTTACCAACCTGGGTATCTGACTTGATGTTTCAGATTGTCCATCGCTGTGGCCCAATTATTTCCGTTGGTTCGTGCAACTATGTAGTACTGTTCCTTAGAGTTGCTTTCCAAAAGGTTTGGGTAAGACAGTCGTTCCAACGGATCTTGGCCTGAACCGGCCCGAATGGTGTCCTTCACGTTCAGGGTATCACCGAAAGGATGGAAAACCCGCTGTGGCACTGACACTCAGCTCAGTACCTTCACACTTTCAATAACAAAACAATATTTGCATCATAAACTGGCTCGATCCTCTTTGTTTGTACTAACTCATGTTGACGAAAATGTTAATAGCAAAACCACAACAAAAATTTACATTTCTTTCGACTATCAAGACTTTACCCTTACCCTCCCCTCCCCCTCCCCCCACTTCCCATCTCACTGTGGCGATTCGTTTCTTGTGCCCTTCATTTCTCAGCCGCTTTTTTTCGCCCCTCAGAAAAACCTCTCTCATTTGTGTGCCGTCTCTGAAAAAAAAATTGGAAAAAAGGAAAGGGAGCCTCGTTCAAGGAAAGAATGAAAGTCATTGTTTTCGAGATCATTCGATTGATACAGGACCGGTTCGTTCATCTGAAAATGCCGACATTTACTGTGATGCACTTGTTTGTTTTGTTAAGATACACTTTCAAAAGTTTTTATGTGTTTAGTGGAATTTGAATAAATGGCGCATCCCGAACGGACCAAAAAATGCTGGGCGCTTCTTCAAGTTCTTCTGGTATTCCCATTGTTGGTTCCGTTCTTGTGTCACATATCTCTCAGCATTTCTTTTTCCCGATGCTCAAAGACTAAACCCTCTTTCATCTATGCGCCATGTCTGGGAAACCAGGAAAAAAACGGAAGCGAGCCGTCTCCGCCGTCTGTCATTTCCTTATTTAAAATTCTTCGACAGCTCTCCGACGAAGACATCTCGTGTAATCACGTTGTCCGACGGCGTCATCGTTGCTCTCCCTCTACATTCATGCCGATACGTCCATTATTAGGATTAACGATGGCAGAGATTAATCGGATATGGGGTACTGGGGAGCCTTGTTGTTGTATTTCAACCACGTCACATTTGGCTTTGAGCGTTACGCCACATTTATCCATTACAGTCGATTTGAGGGGCAAAAACGCTGTTTGAAATGGCTATTCTGCCCGGCCGATCCTACCCACCCCCTCCCCCCGAAGGTCATTCATCTGGTATCGGAATTGCTCATTTTTGAAATTTCCGACAGATGCCTACGACCTCTTCAGTGCAAATGGATCTCCTACACTTCGGCGGAACAATCGATATCGATTGAAACTATTGGTTTTTTCTAAAACAGGCTCTCCTCAGTTCCTCTACCCCTCCCAGATGAAATTTGCTTTGAACACCGTTCACTCGAATTTCTTTTTCTCTGTCAGTCCTTTGTCAGAGTCCATAGTGTTACTGCCATGCCTTCCGGCCACCTGGTTGTTTGTTTTTCTAAGTTTGCCTGATGCATATGTTTGTATGGCGCACGAACGTCGGGCACTCGAGTAAATAGTAAATAAAACGAGTAAATAATGCTGGAGGTGGGTGTAAACAGTGTTCCAACATATGCCAAATACCGCATGTCATTGAGTATAGAACAAAGTTTCCAAAACATCGAAATCAATCATCACTTTCCCTTTTATGTCGCCGAGCGGGCGCAGCACTTGACATCTATTAAGTCGTCGTTTTCATGGCGTTCCAGAATTTTCTTGAGACGTCTGCCATTTTCATAAATATCCAAGTGGTTTTGTCTGTAATTCATAATGGATATGGAATGCATAACATAAGCCATCAAAGACATTTAGGCCTAGCATTAGGCCTTGCAAAAGGCCTTGCAGTAGGCCTGTCTTACTTGAAATGATTTTCAATCGGGTCATAATGTAGGTAGGTGTAATCTGGGTGTTCGGGTGGGGGTGGGTGAGTGGTGATGGTGTGACGCACGATCGGTTTGCATCATGGAATCGATTCCATCCATCCATAGTGATGTCGATTCATTTTGACAATGACATTCAACCCTGGAGAGCCAAAAAGAACGATGTAGGCGTGGCCCTGGCCCTTTTGTCTGTCCACTATTCATAGCCGTCTGGTAACCTGCTTGATCATCGACTTTGTCATCCCCCTTTGAATAGCCCTGTTGCCATTCTGAGAGTTTCATCGGTCTGCTTCCTCTTCCCTGCTTTGCTCACCTCCCTGCTTGCTGTAGCCAATTTATAGACTCACCTAATTGACCATAATTGCCCTAAGGACTTCCGTAGTATTACGGCACTGCACTCTTCAGTCAACTTCTCCAAAGCCTGCATAGCTCTCATTGAACCCATAGAGACCTCACTATTTCTATGGGATACGCCATGCATCCATGTTCTCTTTGAAATCATAAATTTTCTTGCAGAAATAGCAACGATTATTTTGTTTTGATGTGAATTTGTTGAAGAGGAAAAGGCTCTTAGCAGGTGACTTCGATTTCAGTTTAGCAGCTACGACAACATTGATTCATTCCCATGTGCCAAGCCAAAACAACGTTCCTACTACTAAATTACTCGTCCAATGGTTTCAAAAACCAGTAATTCAGTCTTCACTGAGCCATTTACCAGCTAGCCATTTAGGCCAGATTTCTCCCGTTCCTTCTGCGTCATCCATAAGTCCTGTGCGTTATCGTGGGATAAGCCATGCACTCGGCTCAGCAGAGAATTCCACATTTACCTATTTGCTAATTTGGCCCGGAATTGCGAAGTTTAGGTGGTATTTGCAAGTGCTCTGGGTTTACCTTCTGGGAAACCGTTGAACAGGTCTCGAGCCATGAATTATTACCGATTCGTTGCCACTTTCTTCGTCGTCGCCGTCTGTCGAGTGGCCAAAGTTGCACTTCTCAATCAATCCTCAGTTGTCCCCAAACACGGTGTCTGACTTCAAATATGAATTCGACTATTCTTCTCGGTTCACTGGCCAATTTTCCGCTTGTTACTGCCGTATTCGACGGCCGTATGGTCGGAAAGGACAGGGTCAGTTCGAGCGTATACACTACGTACGTAGTGAGTACTAGTAGNNNCCCCCCCCCCGTGATCTTCAGTCAACATCGTCGTCCCTCTCATCGGCTTAGGTGCTAATTCGCTTGGTTGCACATGGCCTTTTCATAATCTATGCATTGAAGCGTAACATATTCTTCTCGGCATTCTGATTATTCTGATGGTGTAAATCCCAACGGACGGACTTAAATCTTTAGATTTATATTATTTCCAAAAATTACTATTTTTTCTCTTACAAATCTGAGAATTGGTCGCTTTTCAGCGTCCAATTTGACGTGGCTCGTAATCGATTTTACTCAGTAGTGCTCTCACTCAGGCTTTCGCCGACTATTCACTTTTTGCCACTTTATCTCGGCACATCTAATCGGAATCGAGTCATCGTTCATTTTGATGGTTAACGACAGCTCTTTTCAGACTCATTTGCTCCACCATTATCGCAAAATTCACAAGGTAGAAGGTAGGTTATCTTCTGACCTTGTTGATCCTTTCATTTTTCGTTTTTATCCCGAAAAATAGCCCATTTTTTCGACTGTCATGTCTCAGGAATGGCTCAGCTCCTCTTGAAAGTGCTGAAACAAAAACTTCACTTTATTCTACTAGCGATTCGAATAATGACGCTGTCAGTGACTATTTAGCTCTGGTGAGTTCCCCATAGAGTTCTGTTTAGTTGTGTTCTACTGGGTGAGCTGGTGCCCAGGTGCCGCTATCACAAGTACGACCTGGGGATCGGTACCAGGCCAGGCCAACACAATTTCCTATCTCCAATCTTTTCCCAATCAGTAGGTGGGCCCAGGGCTCGTCCGGCATCTTCCTGTAGTCATCAGGTGGGCAACGGGTCCGTCTAGGACGAAAAAGGCATTGTCAGGTGGCCTCTTGAGTGGTTCCGTTAAATGAGGCGCATTCAATCGCCATTATGGTTCCAAATGAGAGTCGAGAGCGTGGCGCATACCACAATGAGGTCAGCTTCCCCAATGTTCATGGTTTTTATAGCATACTGATGGATTACTTCGAGTAAAGTGCGTAGCCAGGTGACTTGCTGTAGTCAGCCGTGCCCCCCCCCCGTCCGTCCGTCCATCCGCCGTCGCTGACTGGCCGCGTCTGCCACCCCCCTCTCTTGCAACAAAGTCCATCCATTCACTCGGGGCTGTCCATCGATATGTTCATTTGCACATGCGTAATTGCTTTCTAGCAATATACATCCCTCGACTCTTTCCATTCTCAAATTCATCATTTTCTAATAAATCCATGGCCAATTCATCATATCATATTTCCTCATTTTTATCGATTTATTTCTCCCGTATTTCGTCCCACATATAAATAATTGAATCTATTTCCTTATTTACCTATTGACTCACCTCGATGTCAACGTGGTGTTATTAGGCAGCTAAGCTGCTTGTCCAACAACGTCAATGCCTTAGGAAGGTATAAGCCGATAATCGTTATGTGTTCCAATTGTTTTCTCTCCTCACAGATCTCTCTGGCCAGCATCTCCGGTTTTTATGTTGTACATGTGTTTCACATACTAATTATTCCGTGTCCACGTTTTTCTCCCCTGTGTTCAGCTTCGATGGCTTCATCGAATGCTTCCCCTACTTACTTACTCGAAACAGCCTATTTGCATACGGTTCGTAAGCAAAGCCACATTCATGTAGCTCCTTTCCCAGAGCCTTTCATTGAAACGTTCGAATGCATTCTGTGGAATGGCCAAGCTTGGAGGGGTCCATTCGGACTCGGTAAGATTCATTGCCTGTTCCTTAAGCGTGACGAAAGTCTGACCGTTAATCTTCACGTTTGACGATCCGCAACGAATTTGCAGAGTGCTGCCTTGCAGCTTACGTGATTTTTCGGTCCATCGCCCACTTCCCTCCCCGTGGGTTCGTCAAATCGTGACGAACGTCATCTACCTCTCTTCTTCTTTCATCGAATTTTTCTAATGATATAGCCCGAAAAGAGCCCTCCCAGCCTTCTAATAATGTAATCGATTTCTCCTCGATTTTAGCCTTCATCGATTTTTTCCACTCATCATTTATAATTAGTATCAGAGTTTTGTCAGGTTCACAAACATCAGCTGCTTTTTTTTCGAACATGCTGTTTATTTTTCTCTCGTAGCTGTTGCCCAGACTAAATGATCGATGATAGCGACTCGTGAAATAGCAAGTGCATGGCGTAATCCATAGACGTCAATCCATGTCCAGCTCTTCATTCTACTTTCATTTTTTTGCTTTATGAATGAATAGCGAGTGCATGGCGTATTCCGTATGAATCGATCCCATTCCCGTCCAGCCCTTCACCTTACTTTTTTTGGTTTTCCGGGCCAACATATTTCTTGTGGTCGATGAATATGTATGGACGAACATCCGACTTCTTTTGATGGTATGGGCAAATAGCAAAGTAGTGGATGCATGGTGTATTCTGTAAGGCATCGATCAATAACCCGACCTTCAAACTACTTTTTTGATTGTCATAAATAAACAGCGAAACAGTTAGTGCCTGGCGCGTTCCGAAGGTATTGATCCGGCCCCCGTCCAACAGTTCATACTTCTTCTTTTATTGAATAGTAGGTTATTGAATGCATGGCGTATTCCATGAAGTATCAATCCGCGCCCAGCTCTTCACTCGACCTTTTGTTCAAGTGTTTAGCTCCCTGAATTTGTCAATTTCTTTTTATTATGCGATTCCTTTAGAGAGATATCCGATTTCTGATGTCCCAGGCTTGTTTTCAAGGGAATGTTGCTTGAAGTATCGCTTCATTAGTGTGGCTGTTCGTTCGGGATTATCCCTAAACAATCCCCCAGTCCAATGGTTTCTTTATATGAGGCTTCATATACATTCATCGGTCCGATACGTCCGTATAAGATAAGCAAACAATCCCTCAAATGTGAAGTATAATCAAAAATCGAAATCCCCACATAAAAGCTCTTCTTCTGCTCCTCATGTGTTTTTATTTTCCACTTTGTGAAGTACCAAGCGGCGTGGTGCCACAGGTGTGGTCAGGGTATCGAAACCCGGCCAGGTACCTCCCTGAGCCGAAAAAAGCTTCGTCGGGGTATGGGGTCACTTAAATGGTACAAGACTAGTTCGGGAGGATAAAAGGACTAGCTTGCAGCGGCTTGCAGCTATCAACTTTTTGTATAGGCTAATTACGCATTCATACGCCACCACGATTCTGAACGGAAGTCGAATGCGTGGGCCCATGCCCAAAAATGGACTGACGAAATCCAGAAAAACTTTGTCTTATCCTTTGCATTTGCACTATGGTCTATTTTTATGTACTATTAATAATAATTGGATTTTTTCGCTCCTTCTAGTCCTCTTTTTCTCCAGCACAGACATCTCTTAGTGTTTACTACTCCAGTAAGCGCATTCGTAATCACGAGTCAGACTTTCATTGCATTGCCGGAGCACAATCAATGCTCTCCCTTCCGTTCTATTAGAATTTTATCCTATTCCTTAGGTTTTCGCTTTTTTCTATCGCATTCTTGTTAGCCCATTAATAAAACGGATTCATCTTTATTTATATTGACGTGGGTGCAAGATTAAGTAGCGCACCCATGGTCCGAGGATCGAATCCCGGATCGATACTCGCCTAGGACAAGCAAGCCTTCCATGCCTCCAGGGTCGGTTAATTGGTACCAGACTCGTCTAGAAGCCTGTAACTACTGACTTGTGAGTCGTGTGGCTTGTGAAGTCATTGTCCAAGCCCCAAGAGCATTCAAAAACTATCATGATTTGAAATGGGAGTCAAATGATCGGGCGCATCCCGAAATGGGACCCGTCAAAGCCAAAAGCCTTTTCTCCTAGCTCTTATAATGTCATTGAATGTATGTCATTGAACTCGCTGAGCTGCTTTTCGATTCCAGCTCCAAGAGGATTTCCTTTGTGNTTTTTTTTTGAAGGGCGGTTTCAAACATCACGAATAGAACAAAGAATATCAAGTTCTTCAGACCTTCCCTTCAGCTTTCCTCATCTCCCTAATCTATCGGAAATGGTCACGTCATCGTGCTTCTATTACGCGTTTTCTGGACTGGACTCAATGGTCTGAGCTGGTCTTTGGGCCTCTACCCTTTTCTAGCTAATCTCATTAGCGGGACCTGGTGGAATCAATAAGATATCCTTGCATTAGGGAATTCAGCCCTTACCTCGAGAAAAACAGGGAATTCCTTCATATTGGAGAGAGGCAAATGCAAGTATAAGAAAATGGGAAAGGACAGCTCATAGACCAGATTAACTCCAATTAGGCTTATTAGGGTGAGACCAAATCCCCAAAATTGGTTTCCAACATGCTCTTGCAAGAAAGTGTATCTTCATAAAAGAGTTCTTGCCATGAATTGCCTCCAATCCTTCGCTTAACCACTTAATTTGTTCACTGGACGAAGGTGGTGTAGGGGCAAGTGGCGCATTCACATCGCCATATGGTCCGTGGATCGAACTCCCGATAGATACTCGCTACATTAACCATGCCTACGTCCCTCTTCGAAGGCTCATCAGTACCAGACCCATCGGGGAGCACAAAAGTGTTGGCTCACACATCAGTCAGCCAGCGGAAGTCATTGTATACTCCACAGACGCATTCACAACGCCACTGCGATTCTATATGGAAGTTGGATGCAAGGCGCATCCCAGAAACGGTATTGATTATGCCAAACGACTCTATCCTTTCAGGTTACTCAGAAATCTCTTGAAGCCAGTATTGAGTGACGTGTGCTCCTTCGTTCTTCAAGAATCCGTCTGCCACTGCTTTTTTCCTACACCTCCCCCTAATCCTAAGCTGCTTCCCATTGATCAGCGCTATCTCATGAATATCCATTACAACGCCCAATATGTTTTTCTTTATTCCAGCCAGTGCCTTTCTCTCATCTCTACTTGGTCCCTTTGTTGTTGATTCATGGCCCCAAATCGGACTGCCACTTAAGTTTGTCAAGCCTAACGAAGTGGTTTTTGAAGAGTTTTCCCCAGGGTTTTGTCGGGCATCATTTAGTTTCCATATGAAGCACTTCTTTAAGTTAACTTTTTCTTTTTGAAGGCATCATCAAGCTTGACTGAAGCCGAATTTCGAGAGTATGCTGAACTTTTGCACCGATCGAAACATGGTGAACTGCCCCTGAAGGAACTCTTGCACAAACTTATGGAACTGTTCGGTCCGTGGCGGAAACACCTACTGACCAGTAAGTTATTTTTCACTGTAAATTCCTCTTATAGATAAAATATGCAATATCACTTACACACTATTTTTCTTACTATTTTGGAATCGGTTCCATAGAAAGTCCAACCACTTAATAAATATTTTTGGAAAAAATAAAAAATCCTACTTTGATGCTGATCTCCTTCCCCTTGGCGTTGTCCCTGAGCCGTTGCAAGAATTTCACACAGACGAAAACAAATCAAGTACGGAATTCCGGTTCCTACAGTAATTTTGCGGTGAAATAAGATGTGTTGGACGCAGAAATTTACAGACAACGTATTTCTTTTTACGGCATGACCCTATTCAAATACGGAAATCCCCAACCCGCTTGTATACGATGCATTAAAAGTGGGCCTTGGGCAAGGACACCAGTGTTCTGCTCGAAAGAGTGTTTATCACGACCACTCGTTCGTGGCAGGATCCAAGGAAGGATTATTGTAGGAGCCGGGTCTCCGTTCCGATTTTCATTACCTTGAGAATAGCTAGTCTATAACTTGTATATACACCGAGACTGTTCCTAACATAGAACTGTGTAACTACATAGGTAGCTGTATAATTTCGAAGCCTTGTAAGAAGTTGGAAGGTGACGTTCTTTGGCCTTCTATGGACCTTTTCATATCAATCCAGAATGCCTGTGGAAGATTGGGTTTCATTACCTCTGTACAAGCCACACGAGAAGCCGTTCCGTAGGATATTTGTTACAGGGAATGAGAGAGGGAACTGCACTTGCCCCGACTGTCGCGTGAAACGAGAAGTTGCAGGTGAGAGGCAACTAGTGAGAATGAGTGAGTTTCCCTTGCGAGTATATCCTACCCGTACACCACAGGTGGGATGATTACAATACGTCCACTTTTCCATGTAGATAGAAATTACTAAACACATACTACCTTCAAACATTTTTGAGGTTTGGTCTCTCTGCTTTTTTTTGCAGAATCAGATTTTCGGGTTTTTTTTATAATTTCCACTAGGCTCCTCGGACTTCTCGCAATTGGTTACTCGCTGTAGAAATGAATTCCTACTAGTTTCTTACCTTGGAAATTGATTTTGACCTCTCGGATTCTGATAAGTAGGTGCAGTTGAATAGTAGCGGTCGCTCACTTCAAACTTTCACCCTCTGAGTAAGTTGATATTTTTCAAAACGAAGTCTCCCCGGACAACTTCCTTGGTTTCTCCTTCACATTCAGGACAAGTCCAGAAGGTGAATTAACGGTGGGATCACGTCTCTGTGAAGCCAGTCCTATGTAGTCATATAGAAAAGTTCTCGGTCGGGTAGCATATTCTGGTCCCGATTACGATCGTGTGACATTAGGTCTACTTTTCAGCGCGGCAAATATGCCACTTAATACGTAATTACGCAAAAACCATGGATAGAGCTTCCGATGAAAACGAGCTAGTGAGGGTCCAATCATCTGTCATAAAGTGGGTGGGCACAGTTATGACCACCCTGTTCTTCCAACCGCGGCAATTTCTCACGGTCAACAAGGGAAACAAATAGAGGGTCCCAAAATAAGAATGTCGCCTGAACACACCAGTTTACTAGAAAAAATAAGCGGAAAATAGGGAAAAATAGGATAGGGAACACATATCGATCGATGGCAAATAGGACCGCACTGCGGCCGCGGCGCGTCGAATCCCCTTTGTTACGTTCTCGTCTTTGTTCGTGATTGGAATTATATGTGCAGTCCCCATTAAAATTTTTGTGAGGAAGCTTTTCAGAAATTGTTTCGAATAATGCCATTCAATCATAATACAGTGCTACCGTAGACCATTTAACGGAATTAACCTTTTTCAGGTAACAATTGTGAGAATGAAAGTCGTCGGCTAATTAGTTAGTCACTTTAATAAGTAGGTATGTCAAATGAAAGAATGAGGTTGACAATAAAATTCACTACCTAAAGCCATTCCCGGTAATTTAGAACCAGATGCTGCCTTACACATTTACCAGTCTTAAGTTACCCTGGAATGAACGAAATTGGCGAAAGTGAGTGCCAAGGGTGGAACACATTTTTCCCATGAGAAAACCTTCACAAGTCTCTTATAGTACTCGGGGAGACCATTTCTTTAATTGCCATACTTTACAGCAAGGGGACCGCTTACACCCGATCCATACTTTGCGTACAAACCGCAGCCATTTTCTGCTTCCGTCTGCACCCTCTCGTTGAAATAGTTTACTGGCCATTTGTAGGACGTACTTTCCCACTTTTCTTACCTTATTTGTAACAAATGCACCCTAGAATCCCATCCTCATAGTCCTGGCCTTCTAATTTGTAACTTGCTAATATTGCTCCTGCTCAGTCATACGCCGTTCTCCAGACATCTGTGCTCTGACCTATCAAGGCAGAGAACATGGCGCCAAGTTCAAGTTGCCGCATAGATATTTTTGCTGTGGCACCATAGAGGGATTACGGTAGGAACTTAGATCCATTTAAATTTTTGATGTTATTGGTTGCATCCAATTCCTTAAGTGATGCTGGCATCAATCGAAGAAAGAAAGACTCAGTCGATTCGCCACAATGTTGTGAGTGGCTGGCCATCAAAAAGGTCTGCAAGGGATTGCCTTCAATTGAATGCCCTTAGTGGTATCTATAGACGATGCTATTAGCAAACGATTAGGCGTCGGGAATCCACCTCCGTTCCCTTCTTGGTGATGGTGGCGGTGGCCAGAAAGAGAGTTATGCCTCAATGTCCGTAACTGCGTCCATAACGCCTCTGGATTTTTTTCTTGAATTTTTCATAGTGTTTACTATGCTTGCTTGACGACTGGCTTGAGAAAGTGCAACCTTTTTTTGTTTATTGAAAATTGTTGTCACATTGTTACGAATATCGATCATTCGAGATAACTTCACAGTCCAGGTGCACGGAGTGTTCTGTGATTTGATTCTGTGATCGTCTTCTTCGTTACAAATTACGATGTTTACCCGACGCACATGAGTCATTTTGAAAGATTTCGAAGTCCGTGGACATCGTGTTACAGTGTCTCGGCTGCCGATCTTGGCTGGATAGTCTGGCTTAAGGTCCCAGAGTGCCGTACCTCTGACTTTTGAATTTACCATCTGGTATTACATCAACGAGATTTCAATCGCCTTTTTTGTTCCAAAAGTCTTATTCCCATAAGCAGGTACTATGACATTATCATGTTTAATTTGATAATTATCGGTTTGGCGAAAATGAAGTTGATGCGGGCAAACAGGGCAACTCTTCTCCAACAGGGAGCGCTAGAGTGAAGGGGATCTCGTCGACTTTACTTATGTTCCTTGAGACGGTTCTAGCCACGGGAACGGACCTGAATTTTAGGAGGGCAAGAGGTACTGAGTGGGTAAGATGATTATCTCGTACAAAAAGCTTGGGTAAGTGTAGATGAGATAAGAACGGAAGAATCAGATGACTTACCAACCTCAGTTCTCCTTCCATTCTAAGGCTTAGGTGAAAAGGATACATTTTCTAGGAGGAGTTTGAGAAATAATGGGTTCGCGAATACCCCTACTTCTCAGCTCAATTTTCAAAAAAAGCTGTATCCTCATCGCTTACCCAACTACATTTTTCCCAGGCTGTTCTACGGAGGAGGAACCTTTTTTGGTTTTTTTTTGATTATTTCTATTTCCTCACTGTCGCTGTTCACCGCGGGAGGCGGGCTTTGTGATACGGGCGGCGCCTGTTAGGGAAACGGTAGACCTCAATTTTTATCCTCTTGTCTGTGAACTTCGAAATTTGTTTTCGCAGTTTTTTACCATTCAATTTATCAAAACACTAGTCAGTCAACTGTTCGTTTATTTATCTTCAGGGTTGCACTTGTTGATCCGAGCCGAAGACCAAGCGGAATTTCGTGAAATTCTGGAGCTGCACAACATTACAGGATCATCAGACTCTGTCTAGTCGTTTTGGCTTTTTTTCGACCAAATTTTCGACGAACATTACGTTTCCACTCAGTACCCGTCTGCTCAACGCTCCGGTCCAATAAATCTTTTCTCCCCGCTAAACTTCGTTTGCACTCTGTAATCGCGTCAATTTCGCATGTCTATCGCTCCGAATTATCTGTTACGTTTTTCAGTCATAAAATCTGGAAGACACACAAATTTCCTCTGCGTCTCTATCTTTTCATGCAATGTTTATTTTTCTAGCTTTTAGCCTCTCGATTTTATACGAAATTTTCTCACGATCATCCGCGATTTTGATTTTTTTTCAATTCCATCAGTTCTTGTGGAATCGATGTTAAAGTCTTTGAGCTATAACATTTTTTCGTTTAAGTTTATTCCTCTTTGTATACCACTGAAACCTCCCTCAGTGATTGGAGCCTTTCTTCTCTCTTCCGCCATTTGGAGTGAGAATTTTGTCACGTAAATTATTTTACGATCTGTCAACAGCACTGTATGTCTCTGGGACCACCACCTGGTTGTCACTTCTCTGCATCTACCGTTTTCTCTAATTTTTCTCTAGAAATCGGACATTTTCTACGCCTCCCTTTTTGATTGTTTGCTTCTCTTGCTCTTCCTTCAATGCCTCTCGAAGAAATTCCTGCAAAGTTAGAAATTCTGTGAAGGTTTGGGAAAGTTTTGAACTATTTCCCATTAGGCCGTTGCTATCGAACGGGATCTCTTTCAGAAAGAACGGGAACAGGTTAGAGACGGTTATAAGTGATACAGGTAAGTTGGAGTGATTCATCCAAGGTATTCATACTCCATTTTTCGATTACAGGGTTCGTTTCGGTGATTTGATTGATCTTGAACACATTTTGAGACCTTTATCAATTTTTTATCGGGCTACTCTTGTAGGACCACGGACAGATTTGACCCAATATTCACAAAATGTTTTTGGAATTTGAATTAAGGTATTTAGAATAAAGCTTCGAGATCGATCAAATTAAAGAACGGCCATGCCGAAGCTCATATGGAAAGCCGTACGTGGGGATTACTCATTTTGATGATATTCTTCGTATTTCGCTTTAATTTCAGGGCGTTTTTTATGTTTTTTTTTCATTCTGCATATTGTTTGGAATGGGATAGATTTTTACTCTATGCAAATAATTGCCCATCCAAAAAGTGATTTTGTTTGAGGGAGACGAACGGGTCTTTCCTAGGGTGCAATTTAGGGTCATCATAGTCGGTCAATTTAGACACATCCCGCGGCAGTTCCCCCGATCAATATTCCCAGACTGTCACATCGTTATTTCCCTTTGATTACCTTGCTGTTGATATTCCTTTCCCTTGCTGATTTGAGTGAAAAATAGCTGGCAAGGAAATGAAAACCTCACCATGCCTTAATAGAAGCTATCCACCCGGGATCCTCAGTTTTCCAGACACAGGTAGGTGCTCGATAAATATCACTCCTGAACTTGCAAATGGCACCTGCTTGCAATTCAAATTCGTAGTTGTCACCTGTTGCTACTCCTTTTTTTAATACTTTCATTTTTTGCTGAGTTTATGGTTCCAACGTAGCTCTTCCTTCATGAAAAGACCCCACACGAAGGC